TTCTTTCTTTCTTTCTTTCTTTCTTTCTTTCTTTCTTTTTCTTTCTTCTTTCCTTCCTTTCCTTCCCTTATATTCCTTTTCTCCTTTTCCTTCTTTCCTTTCCTTTCCTTGCTATCTCCCCATCCCTTTCTCTCTTTTCCTGTTTTTTTTCCCCTGACTTCTCTGCTCATTCTTCCCTTAAAAAACAACATATTGTTCTTTTTAGAACTGTCTTTGGGGAAAGCTGCAAGAAAGCAAGGCCTGAAATTTACACTGCAGTTTAGGCTTGTTGGCATTTCTTGCTGTTCTTGTTACCTGATGTTTTTAATCATGGTGGGAAGCCGCAAACCATCCTTATTGCTAGAAAATCCAGAAATTATTGCTCTGATGGCATCTGGAACCCCCTGGATTGAGGACAATCTGTTTTTCTCCCCAAGGCACTATTAAAGGAGCTACTCACCGGTGTACTTGCCCGCCAGAGTGACAATGGTTCCTTCTTCTCCGGCACGTCGGTGATACACCAATTCACCCCCTAGGACCAACCGCGACGTCATGCTCTGGAGGAAGTGTGCAACAACAATAACTGCGTGGAATAAAACATGGTTCAGGGTCAGTTACCAATAGCAGGGGCGGTTGTATAGTTTAGCAGAATGTTTTCTCGAAGTCAGTCGCTTTGAGATGTGTGGGAAGGAAGGAAGGAAGGAAGGAAGGAAGGAAGGAAGGAAGGAAGGAAGGGAAAGGGAAGGAAGGAAGGAAGGAAAGAAGGTTGGAGGGAGGAATGAACACTGAGAAAGGGAGACAAAGACTAAGAAAGGGTGGGAGAGAAAGAAAGAATATAGAATAGAAAAGAGAACAGAAGAAAGAAAGGAGGGAGGGAGAAAAGGAAGGAGAAGAAAGAAAGGCAGAGAAGGGAAGGGAAAGGGAGCAGGAAGGGGAAGGGAAGGAGAAAGGAAGATGGATGGATGGAAGGAAGGAAGGAAAGAAGGAACACTGAGAGACAAAGGGTGGGAGAGAAAGAGAATGGAAGGAGGGAAAGGAAGGGAAGGAAAGGAAAGAAAAGGAAAAGAAAGGAAAGGATGAAAAAGAGAAGGGAAGAGATGTCAATCCCTGCCAAAGATTATCTGTGTGACACAGTCACTCACCAGATTCGCTGATCAGATCGGGGTTCCCCAGCGTCAGGGTGGCAGTGTAATCATCCCCGCGATATTCAGTATCAAATTGCCAGGTGGTGAATTTGGCCTGTTGAGTCTGAACAGGGCAAATCAGTCAGGAATTGGCTTTTTAACAGAGAGAAACCCTAGCCTACATTTCTCAGCCTGAGCTCAGCCTGAGCCGTTCAGAATACAGGGGGAGAGAGAAAGGGGGGGGGGGGGGGAAACGACACAAACAAACCGGGAATGTCATAGGATAGAAGAACTAAAAAAAGAAAGGCACGCTTGCAGAAATCTAGCACCTCAAGGGAGGCACACCTTAGCTTTCTACATGCAGGAAAATTCCTTTCCTTCAAGAATTTGACCTGAGCTGACTGTGGGTGGTGTACCATACAATCTTAAAAGCATAAAAATATAGAAATGATATAAGAATCTTAAGACAATATTGTAAAACAAGATATGAGAATATTTAAAGAAAAATGAAATAAGTGATGATATGAATTGGAATGGGATAATATAAGAATATTTGAGAATATTTAAAGGAAAATGGAATAAGTAATAATACGATACAAAATTGGATACGAAAGACGAATATGTAACTATGGTCATGTTTGTATTGAAATGTAAACACCTGGAACCACATTGTTCCCCAAGAGAGATGTTTTTTTTAAAAAATAAAAAATTATATATATATATATATATAAAAAGAAAGCATATTAAATTAAAGCAATTAAAAGTAAAGGGAGTTATATTTACTTCCAATCTGTGTCTCTATTTACTTTAAAAGCCCTTTTTTAAAAAGAAAAGCCTGGTGGTTTATTTTTCCAGCCTGCAAATTTGGGTATTAAACTTTGGGTATTAAAATATTTAAAAAAAGCATGTGAAATTTAAAAAGGAAATTATTTAAATTTAAATAAGTTTAAACTCGACACAAAAGTTAATTAAAATGTCAGGGGAGCTGTATGCATTTCCAATCTGTGTCTCTCTTTGCTTTTCTGCTGGTGGTTTTTTTTGGGGGGGTCAGGTTGCAAACTGCAGCTTTGGGGGTATTCAAACCCTCTTTACGACGGTCCTGCCAGGTAGGCCAAGGTGGCTACAGGGAGGCAAGGAACGAGCCCGTTTCTTTATGGCCGATTGGAGAACATCCGAATCCTGGTTTTGAATTTCAGACAGAAACGCAAGGCGAGACGCCGTTACCTGGAAAACCGCTTTGGTTCGTATCCGCTCCGTTATAAGATGGAGAATTTGAGCACTGAGGCTCCCAGCACTGCTAATATCGCCAATAAGGGTGGGAAAAGTCTAGGAAAAAGAACCAGGGGGAAAAAAAAAAAAAGACTGGATGAATTTTTAAAAAAACAAAAAAATATCTCTTTCAAAGCTGGTAATTTGGGCCGAAATTTCACTGCCCTTCCGAGAAACTTTTCAATGATTAACTTTTCCACGGACTGTTATTTTGTTGACTTCTGATAAAAAGGAATATAACAATTTTGCCCATTCTAGGAAAATGGGACTGACGTTTGCCTGCTTTTAAGAATTAAAAAAAAAAAGATGTAATTTTAATTGAATTTAATTATTTTAAAACTTGAAACATTTATTTTTTTTAAATGTTAAAATAAATTATAATAATAATCACTTTTTCAAATAAATGGCTCAAGAGAGTGGACATAACTGATAATCCCTTCTCTTCCTATTTTTCCCCACAGTGACAACCCTGCGAGGTTGGATTGGTATAAGAGAGAGGGATTGGCCCAAAGTCACCTAGTTCACTTTTGTGCCTAAGACTAGAACTCCCAGGCTCCTGGTGATTGGCCCAAAGTCACCCAGCAGCCTGAAAGTCTGGACTAGAATTCACCGTCTCCTGGTGATTGGCCCAAAATCACCCAGCCAGCTTTCATGCCTAAGGCGGGACTAGAATTCACCGTCTCCTGGTGATTGGCCCAAAATCACCCAGCCAGCTTTCATGCCTAAGGCTGGACTAGAATTCATCGTCTCCTGGTGATTGGCCCAAAGTCACCCATCCATCTTCATGCCTAAGGCAGGACTAGAACTTACCATCTCCTGGTAATTGGCACACCCAGCTGTCTTTCATACCTAAGGAGAGTTAACTAACCTGATTTAACAAGCCTTACTTCCGAGGGACTCCAAACCCACCTACTTGTAATCTGGGAATTAGGATCCAAAAGACCAACTGAAATCCCATTTTGACCGGAAATAATCTGCTTTCGCTCACCTCTGTAGCACTAAGCTGCTGATCGCCCAAGTACGTCGTGTTCAGGTGATAACTCGAGTGGCCAATGGTGCTCATGTGAACAGTGTGGCTCACCTGCAGGAGGGGGAAAAAGCCAACAGCAAGTTTCAATTCAGAAGACGAGGCATGCAGGTAGCGTCAAGTTGTAAAATATTCCTGTGCCTGTTCCCAAGTTGCCATGAGAAAGAGGAAGGGGGAAAAAAGACCTGAAGGAGCACACGGCAAATAAAATCGGAAGCACATTCCAAGTTTCTCTCACAAAGAGTGTAACTTAGGCAGCCGGGTATTCTGCCTGCGAAAACCCTTTATTGGAGAATGTGATTGTTGACACCCAGAGCCCATGAACCGGTTTCGTTGGAGAAGCTGAGTTACGATACACCCAGGGGGTTGGGGGAAGACAGGGTCCTAGTGGTGGTATTCTACCGGTTTTGTCCCGGTTCTGCCAAGCCGGTAGCGCCGATGAGCAGCAGAGACAGAACTGGTTTCCTCCGACGCTTTGCTTTTGGGCTCACTCGCTCGGGTTCTCATGCTAATCTTTATCTCCAGATTGCTGCGTGGCAGCTGCTAAAGCAACAAGGGAGAGTGCAATTTTGCAGGAAGTGGAGTCAGAAAGCCTCTGCGCCTGTGCAAAGTGCACATTTGGTGTGTGTGTGTGTGCGTGTGTGTGCAAAGCGTGCTCACCTTAGCCACGCTCATCGAACTGGTGGTAACATTTTTTTGAAATGCACCACTGGTCACAGGTGATTGTAAATTACATGTCTCAGAGTCGGCTTCATACAGGTCGTGCCGGCATGTCGCTCCTAATAAATGCTTTGAAGTTTTCCTGAAGCTTGGCTGGAGGCTGATGATTTAATTAGGGCGATCGCCGGAATCCTGAAAGCAAGCCCTCATTGAGGCCAAAACTATCGCTAAGTGAAACGGTTGTTCAGTGAGTTTTGCCCCATTTTACCATCTCTTAGGGCTGCGTGGGTTAAGGGAATCCCTCCGGTTATTAAGTGAGTGCCATGGTCGTTAAGCGAATCCCGCTTCCTCATCGACTTTGCCCTCCCCCGCGACCATCACAGAAACGAGTCAGTTGCCAAGTGTCTGAAAGTGGATCACGGGACCCTGTGGAGGCTGAAACCGTCATAGGTGTGAAACAGCATCTAAAGTCCTGTTTTTCAGTGCCATTGTAACTTCAGTCACTAAACGAAGAGTTGTAAGTCAACAATGATCTGTACAAGACAAGTTAGTCTAATGTTTGTTTGCTGGATGGATGGAGGAAGGAAGATAACACGCCCGCCTTCCATGACTCCACAAAATAACCCCCCTGCGAGGTAGGCTAGCGTGTTATGGAGACCCCCTCCCCAAATTACAGATCCCTAGAAGCAAGGGGACTCACCTGGAAATGGCTACTCAGAGATTTATTAATGATCAGCTTGACTCCTTCTATTTGTTGAGGGAAAACATCTGAAATGGAAACAGGGTTTAAAAAGAGAGAGAATTTGAAGCCACATTTAAACTGACTTTATTTGATGGATGAAACGCGCCACACACCCACCTGGCTATCGAGTCACACCGGGCGACTTACCAGAGAATAAAAACGACAATACAAAAATATGACAACAGTCAATATGAACTGTGGAATGGATGAGGGAGATCGGACCAGCTGGCCAGAGACAGAACCAGCCACTACACAACATAAAACACAGGTTTTTTTTGTAACCCTCAAGCAAGGACGTTTCGGCACATACACTCCTGATGACCAGAAGTGATCCTCAAAATTCTGCTGTTAAGTGAGATGTTTGTTAAGTGGATTTTTTCTCCATTTTATGACCTTTCTCGTCTTGGTTGTTAAATGGATCACGGAGGTTGATAAGCGAGCAACCCCGTTGTTAAGTTAGTCTGCAAGGAAACCACCAAACCCAGAGAGCATTAAGGATCCCACAGTCCTCCTCCTCCTCCTCCCCTTTGCCCCACCCAATCCAACTCCTTTCTAGCACTGATGACGTTATCTAGTTGGGTCATGAAATGTCTGCAAGAAAACCACCAAGCTCAGAGAGCACCCACAACCCCACAGCTGGGCTGGTGGGGGGGTTGGACTAGATGACCTGCAAGGTCCCTTCTAATCTGTATCCGTATTAGTTCTCCTCCTCCTCCTCCTGCTCTCCGCAAACCCTACTTCCTTCTAGCACTGATGACGTTATCTAGTTGGGCCATGAAACGTCTGCAAGAAAACTACCAAGCTCAGAGAACACCAAGGGCCCCACAATTCTCCTCCTCCTTCCCCCTTCTAACACTGATAATGTTCCCTAGCTGGGTCATGAAACGTCTGCAAGCAAACCCACCAAGCTCAGAGAGGCCCCAAGCACCTGCCAACCAAATCTATCCATATATAAGCAAAATAAAAAAACTAAAAACTAAAAAGGGTGTTTTACCTTTGCATTTGCGGTGAAGTTCATCAAAACTACCTGGGTTGCAGAGTCCTTCGGCCCGGCGAGCCCCTTTTCGTGGGGCCGAGAAGGGGGAGAATATATTCCCCATGACCTCCCCCCCACAGCTCCACACCTAAAGCCAGGCCGGGGATTCGTCTCATCCGGTTTAAGTTCCCCTCCCTTGTTTGAAAGCGAAAGAATTCAAGGGTTGTGTGTTCTTTCACACCTAGAACCAACCCACCCACCACACCTTAGTGGCTCTCTAGGAATGGGGGGCTGGGGGGGGGAGAGGGGGGGAGGAAAAATAAGCTCCTTCTGCAGCTTCTTCTTCTTCTTCTTCTGCAAAATAAAATAAAATACAACAAAAATAAAAAATGGGGATGCTTGCTTTGCTTGGAGAAAGCGGGGAAAGGAGGAAGGGGGGAAGCGTGTTTTGGGGGGGGCGCAGGAGGGGGATTCAATAAATAATACTTGGGGGGGGGGGGGGGGAAACAGACCCCCCCTTTTCAAAAGGAAAAGGCCAGGTCGTGGGAATTGGAAAAGGGGGAGGGGGTTTAGAAAGGCGTCAGGCATTCAGAGCCCCCCATTCTTCCTACTCTTCCTCCCCCTCTATGATCTTGATGGGGGCGGCCATCTTTCCCACTCCTCCTCCTCCTTTTCTTCCCCCCCTTCCCACACCCGCCCTTTTTTTTTTTTTTTCCCCAAGGCTGCGATTGGTCGCCGGGAGGATCAAGCCCGCCCTCCATCCCGCAGGAGCGGAAGCCGAGCTGAGCGGGGATTGGCTCAGAACAAGGTAGCCAAAGCCCGCTTCCTTTCTCTCCCGCCGGCCCTTTGATCTCTCCCTCTGCTCCCGCCCCCCCCCGCTCCTCTGATTGGCTGGAAATGTTGCGCGAACGTTCGGCCGGCTTTTTCTTTTTTTCTTTTTGTCGTGTCCCCGAGGCCGCCGCGCGGGGTCCCAGCCAGGCGCCTTTCCCGGGTTGGGGGTGACGGGGGGGGGCGGGGAGGGGGGGGCGAGGAAGGCGATGGGGATTCTAGGCGGGTCCCTCCCCACCCGGGAACGCGGGAAAAGGAATCCGGATGAAGAGCGAGGCCGCCCGCGCCTGCCTCGGTCTCTTGGTTTCATCTGATTCGTCTAATCTACCTAATACCTCTTATCTGTCCATCCACCCATCTATCCGCTCTAATCTAATAGCTCTATCCCATCTGTCTAATATCTAATCATATCTGTCTGTCTTCATCCATCCATCCATCATCTATCTCCTCTACCTATTTATCATTCATCTATCAATCTCTAGAATCTAATACCTCTCCCCCTCCCTCCCTCCCTCCCTCCCTCCCTCCATCCATCCATCTATCTATCTATCTATCTATCTATCATCTATCTATCTATCTACACTATCCTCTGTCTGTCTGTCTATCTATC